GTAATGTTTCGTAAATCTTACGAACTCGTAAACTTACGTAGTTTTACAACGTAATACTCTGAAATATTACAAAAATCATAAATCTACGGAATATTACGCCACATTTAAATTCCAGATGTTAATTTGATTTAATCAAATTCAAACTAGTATTCAAATATTTAATTTGATTTGAATCAATAGTAAACTATCTTCAAGTGGTAGTTACTAAGAAAACTATAATAAAAAGTGATTTTATGGTTTTAAAAATACCTTTTTTACTAAAAATTACAGAAAATGTCTTTACAGCTTAAGAAATATCTTTTTTACTAAAAAAACAATAATAATAATATATATTCTTTTTAAAATAATTTTAATTAATTATTATAAAAAAATAATTTTTAAATCATTCAATAAGAATAAAGTCTATAATTTTTTTTAATTATTCTTATTGAATAATAATAATATACTATTATAAAGTAATTATCTTTTTAATTGTTCAATAAGAATAATAATGTATTATCTTAAAGATTTAATTTTTTTAATTGTTCTTATAGAATAATTTCAAACAAATGATTTTTAAATTGAATGATAATATTTCATAAGGTTGCTAAATGAAATTAAGAGTTTAGACATATGTCTGAATGGTAAAGTAAAACTTGGTTAAATTATATTAAAACCTTATTAAAAAATCTGCAAAATTTGAAAAAGGTAAAACTATATCAAAGTTTATAAAAATTGCGAAACTATATTAAACACTTAGTAAAAATTTAGCGAAACTAAAGGTTTTACCATTTTGCCAAATCCAAAATAAGTTTAGACAAGCAACCTTAATATTTCATTTTAAAAATTTAATTATTTAGAAGGTTTGCTAGGAAAATAGAACTTTAAGCATTTTTTATTAAAATTTTAATTTTTATTGCATTTTATTTTTTGATAATGTTAGATTAAAATGTAATAAAAATTAAAAAAATGCTTAAAGCCTTATTTATCTAGCAAACCTTATATTTAATAAGAATAATAATATATTATCTTAAAAGACTGATTTTTTTAAATTATACTTATTGAATTATTCTAAAAAAAACAATATTTTGATTATTTTAATCAGATATTTTGCAATATCCAATTTGAATAATTTGTATTATTCTTATTGAATGATGATATTTTATCCTAAAGAATATATGATTTGATCATTTTTTTTGAAAAACTTATTTTATTATTTATTATATTTATTATTTCTAATGGAATGATAATTATATCATCCTTTTAGAATAATGATTTAATTATTCTTTTAAATTAATTGTTTAATTATTTCAAATATTTATATCATTTCAAATGAAATGTTATTCTATTTAGAATTTATTTTTAATGAAATAATTATATATATTATTTCAAATAGAATGATTATTTTTAATAATATTTAAAGATAAATTGTATTATTTTTTATCATTTTTAAAGAAAATTTTTATCATTTCATTAGGATTATTAGTATTATCTCTTAAAGATGATTTTTATGTTCCTTTGAGATGATTTTTCTAATAAGATGATTTTTGTATTACCCAATTAGAACAATTAGAATAAATCTTTAACTCAACTCTAATTAGCCATAAATTAAATAAGAAATTTAGGTTAATTTTTGGCTGATTGAAAATTACATCAAATTGATGATTTTTCTGATTCTTTTTGAATTTGACCAATATTATACATAACAAAAATCTCCTTTTTTTATATATTTTTTGGTGTCTAATACTAAAATAAAAAAAATCCATTTAAACATAAAATCAAAAAAATATTCTCTGTTTGCTTTTGTGATTTCATATTTCTAAAAAAATAAATAAATTAAGCAAAAAGAACAATATTTCAAATAATATATATTTGAATACAGTAACCCCCTTTACAGACATCACCTATATAATCATATTATATAAATCCTCAGTTATAAGCATAACTTTCATAAACTCAGTTCTTATTAACACTATATAAAAACCCCGTTCTATAAACACAATGTTTTTATATTCTTTCCCTTACCCCTTTGGAACTAATACTTAGTAATACTATAAAAAATCCTTCCATATAGTCACCTTTCGCTATAGTCAACGAGGGGTGTGACAGTAGAGGGCTAACGCTGATAATAATACTTATTTATTATTGATATTTAACATTATTTATATTATACCTTATTTCACATATTAAACTTTTGCATTTTTTGCATTTCGATGAAAATAAATTAAATTATTAAACATAATTTATTACATTTATTCCAGTCAAATTATTTCAATATATATATACATATTTATTTTAATTTTTTAATTTAATTTACAAATAAACGAAAATTTGAAAATACACGTAACTGCTAGGTAGCAAAACACTGGTTTCTGAAATGTCGGTCGTTCTTTGATAACAGAAAGAGAACCAATAAAATGCATTAAAATATCTTAGGAAAATTTAGTTTGGTGTAACAGAAATAATTAAATTTTGTATATTAAAATTTTTCTTTGCAAATTTAAAAAATATTAATAAATAGTCATAATTCTTCAGAAATATTTTTATTTAGAAAAATAACTATATAAATATAAATAAAATAAGAATTTGTTCCATTCACAGCCCGGAATCAAAAACGGTTTAAAATCTAATAATACTCGTATCAATACGCCATCGGAATACTTATAAATTCAAATAAAGCGTAGTAGACCAGTGAATAAAATCTAAATTCTTTATATTTACCATTTTTAATTTGTTCAAAGGTTAAATCTGCTGTTTGTGGGAATTTGATAATCCCTGTCATTAAAAAATATCAAATAAATATTATTTTTTTTATAAAATAATTAAAATGTAATAAATGTAATGAAAAGTGACATTTATATCAGCTATCATACTAGAATTACCATTTAAAATAATATTCAACTCCATTCACGTCACGAGCTGAGTGAAATATCTACCTACAGCCTAATCATGAAAATTGATGATAAGTGATCATATCGTGAAAGAGTGAACTCTATGCGTCTGTTCAATTAAAAACCGAGTAAAATTGGCAAATGTTAAATATATGGTGCTAGAGTATTGTTGCCATAGGCATTGCATTAATTTGATGCTAAGATCGTCAAAAGCAAAAGCATTCTTAAAAAAAAAATTTTTTCAAAAAAAAAAATAAAATAAAAAAAAATACCTTAAATAAAATGCTCTAGGAGAAATCAGTTCGAATCGTTTGATCAATGATCGTACCGTACTGGTCTCAATAATATTATAGATTCAAGTACGGTACAATCATACTTTAAAAGATCGTACTAACCGTACCGGATTTTCTCCTCCCTTAATTAAATTTTCAAGTAATTTATAATTATTAAAAACGGTCTCGTTCCAACGTCGACAGGAGAAGGACATAGCCAATCCATCATCTTGGAACTATTCAAGAAGTATGTAGGACTTGTTAAAAGATTAGAATAAAAATGTTTTCTCAATAATAAAAAATATTTACAAATGGTACAGTCCAATAGAATATAGGATGACTTTTACAAGTGTCTAAAGGCCCGCTGCCATTAAATAATCCTTCCGAAAATATCGTAATCGACGAACAGGTTCTTAATAAGAATATCATCATGGTGATTTAATAATGTAATTGTAATGTTTGTTAAAACTTAAAAATTTAACGTGAAATCAAAACAATAAATTAGCAAATTATTTTTAATTTGTCATAAACTATAATACTATCAGGATCTGGATCTAGATCCTAATAATTCCGAATAAAAAACATTCATGCTGTATGATTTGCTAAATTAGCGTGTCTTGAAACCAAGTGTAATTGTTTTAAGTCACATTTATCAGGATAAGTTATGGGTTTAATTTCTAGCGAAAAGGCAGTTTCGGTGAAAAAAAAATGGATATTCTCTAGAATATTTGTATTATTTTGCATAGCGTTGGGTTATATGATTGCTGATCAAAAAATGTAGAATGTCGTATGTAAACGTCATCTTTTTAAATTACTAAAATTTTTATCATTTTTTTATTTACAATCTAATAATACAATATCGTGTGAATACTTTCTTGATCACTTGAAGAAAAATAAAAATCAAATTATACTTTTTAGGAAAACAATTCCACTTTTTGATTAATAAACTTAGCCATTAATGCTTTTTAAAATGAAATAATTACCCTTTTTTTTAGATCGGATAATAAATTTAACTTACATAATATTTTAAAAATGTATGACTTCTCACAATCTGTCATACAAACCACCATCAACAGTATTTCGATTGTTAATCTAAAAAGGTTATTGTAAATTGTTAGATTTATCAACATCTTGATTTCTCATCTCTATTCTTTGTTTTGATTACTCATAAAATAGTTCAAAATAATACATGTAGGCGGCGCTATTTTAATTAACTGAAATAGGACGAAATATCAAATCCGAAATTAAGTTCGAATTTATTTTTAGTAAGTTTTGAAGTTATTTTTAGCCTTTTTTTTTTATATTATATACAGTACAGTATTTAGATTAAAAAGAATTTATTGTTTACCTATTTTGGGACTTTCATTAATTTTTTCCTTCTATATTATCTACTGCGTCTTCAAGATCGTGTGAAACTAGCTTATGGACTTAACCCAGTTATAACCGGCACTATAAAAATTATGGCGGAGCTAGTGAAATTTTTGTAATCACAAAAATCTTAATTCTGGCTGAAAATTTATATTTCGCCGGAGTTAAAATTAACCGTCTTAACCAATTAAATAACCGTCTAAAAATTTGCCGGTTCCAACCTTTAATCGGAGTTATAAACAATATAAATGGAAATGATTGTTAAATTGTAGCCCAAATGCGTTATGGTCATTAAATCGGAATTCATTAACGCATTTGGGTTACAAATATAAGTGATATTTCCCCCATAATTAAATTAAAGAAAGAAATCTAGTTAATGGTAACGTTAAAGATGCCATTCGTATCATACATTTCCCCACTGAATGTTATAATGGATTTAGATCAAATATTTTTTTTTGAAATTAAGTATTTTTATTTTCGACTATTCGAAGGATTATTTAACGATGATTTTTATTAAAAAACGTTAATGATCAATTATAAACAATAACATTGAAATCGTCTAAAGACAACTTGATAAGAAACTTACCTTGATTTCTGCAGTTTGTGGTTCCTCCTTTTTTTTCACGCTTTTAAATTATTTATTATTAAAATTATTAAAGACGAATGATCGGTGTTAAAATTTTATTTCGTGCTATTATTAAAATCTTCATTCAACAATGGAGACATTTGAGGCACGTAAATTTAGCTCCTTAAACTTTCCAACTTTTCTTCTTATGGTTAAATTACTTTCTTAGACAATCAAATAAAATAAGATTTTAATTTTGCCATTTTAATTATATCATAAAAAAAGACGTTTCCAACACGTATTTTCTTTATTGGGTTAGATGATAATATATAAGTTCATTGATATGATTCTTTTATTTAAACCATTGATTTCTTTTTTTTTTTTAAAAAAAAAAAAGCAAAAATCTAGCATTTTAAACAAAAGAAAAAATGATGACGTTTCCATACAACATTCTATATTTTGTTTTGATCATCAATTTATTAGTGTCCTATAACCCAACGCTATGCAAAACATACAAATATTCTAGAGAATATCTTCTCAACAACCATCTTTTTTACCTCGAACCACCGCAAACTGCCTTCTCACTAGACATTAAACCCATAACTTATCCTGATAAATGTGACTTAAAACAATTACACTTGGTTTCTAGACACGGTAATTTATAATTTCGTGCATACCATACAAAGTTTACAGCGCCAGCGTGAAATAATCTTTTCTTTTTACTTGAAATTATTAGGATCAAGATATCCGGATCCAAACAGTATTATGGATTTTGAAGAATTGGAAAAAATATTTGCTAACGTTCCTGTTGCAAAAGATTGGGTAAATTAACTCTCAATTACATTATGAATTTAAGCTAAGTTAATAAATAGTTTTTCCCACCAACCGTTTAGTATAAAAATCCTTTCCCCATGAGGAAAAATTTTCAATTGGGCAAACGAGGGGAGATCGAACCTTATTTTGATGGTTTACAATCTCGTAAAAGATACGCAAGGTTTTGGGATGGAGTTGAATATGATCCCGAAGTTGTAAAATTTCAATGTTCTAATACATCGAGGTACATTTAAAAATTTTTTTATAAACAAACATTTCATTTATTTTAATAAATTTCAATTGTTTATAATTTTTAAGAACCTGTGCGTCGATTATGGCATTTTCTGAAGGATTATTTAATGGCAAGGGGTCTTTAGACACCTGTAAAAGTCAACCCATATACTATTGGTCTGCACCATTGGTAAATTTTTTTTTTATTATTGTGAAAGTTTTTTATTCAAATCTGTTAACAAATCACAAATCTTTTATAATTTTGAATAGTTCCAAGATGATACATTAGTTATGTTCTTCTCCTGTCGTCGTTGGAACGAGACCGTTTTTACTAATAATAAAATACTTGACGAACAACTCTATACCTATGTTAACAAGACTCTTGCACCAATTTCCAAGCGAATTTCTGAAGAATTCAACATTAGCCCGCCTCTTAATCCAATTCTAGTACCACAAATTTTTAATAATTGCCAATTTTGGCTCACGATTTTTAATCGAACTGACGCATGGTGTTCACTCTTAAGCCCTAAAGAGCTTTTATTATCACGACATTATTTCGATATAATCTATTATCATCAATTATCTTATGGCCATCCTCTCAATACACGACTAGGCTGTAGATATATCACTCAGCTTGTGAATGGAGTTGAAGATTATTTAAATGGTAATTCTAGTATGATAGCTGATATAAAGAATGCTCATAGTTTTACTCTATATATGATACTTACTACATTGGTGTGTAAATTTTTCATTATATATATATATTTTTTTTATTTTAAGACTTTTGCGACTTGTATGATATTAATTTGTATTATTAATTACAGGGAGTATTTAAAAACAAGTACCCAGTCTCTGCAGATTTAACTTTTGAACAAATTAAAAAACTCGAGTATACAGAATATACACTTTTACACTGGTCCTCTACGCTTTATTTCGAAATTTATAAGTGCTCCGGTGATCACGCATTGATACGAGTATTACTCGACTTTAAACCGTTTCTGATTCCGGGTTGTGATAGTGAATATTGCGAGTGGAACAAATTTAAAGAAATTCTTGGTGATAAGATTGGTTGCGATTTTGAAAATATGTGCGCTTATCCTTAAAGGATTTTTTTTTTCTTAATAATAATGTAAAATTTTAAAAATCTTCAATTTTCTGAAAGAAATTTATATTTCTTAATTTATCTAATAAATTTACAAATTTTTCGGATGTGCTGTACAAAATTTATATAAAATTTTTTTAATTTAAAATTTAATATACACTTATTGAAAGGTGCTTAAATGGATGTGTCTATTTTAATTATATTGTATAACGAAAAACATTCTAACCTTTTTTGATCAACCAATTTGTCTGATGACCTCTTTGTCCAACAGAATTACCCAAACTTATTCAACTATTTAAATTTTTTTAACTCCTCCCAAATATTTAATTTTATTTTTTTTTAATAAAAATTATGTCGGCACAATTTTTTTCCAAGTTAAGCCAAAATTATATTGACATTTTAGATGATGAGGAATATTATGATATTACAATTGAAGTTGGCAAAGATCCGGATGTGAAAATATTTCGTGCTCATATGATCATCTTACGTTACCGTTCTCCATATTTACGACGAATGTGCAATAAAAAGGATGATGATTCCCTAGTTCATATTAAGTTGCCAAATATTTTACCAGAAATTTTTCAAATGATTTTAAAGTAAGTGTATACCTGAAGAGCATCTTATTTTTATCATCATTTCTTCGTATTAACATGATCTTGATTTTATGACATAGATACATTTATGGTGGAATTATTTCATTAAACGAACAAGATACTGTAGATATTTTGAAATTATTAATTGCTGCTGATGAGCTTCTTCTTCTAGAATTAGTTGATTATTTACAGAATTATTTATTAGAAACCAGTTCTGATTGGGTTGAACGACATTTTGAGCTCGCTCATAGAACAAGTTTTCAATCTAAATTCCTTTCAAAACTTCAAGTATTTTGTACAGATTTTATGGCCAAATCACCTGAAAAAGTATTTCGATCACTTGACTTTACATCACTTCCTGAAAAGTCTTTGATTTTACTTCTCAAAAGTGATGATTTACAGATGAAGGAAATTGAAGTTTGGGAGCATGTATTAAGATGGGGACTGGAAAAAAATTCTTTGATCTTGCCAGATCCTTCAACTTGGTCAGAAGACGATTTTAAAATGATGGAAAATACCTTACAACTTTGTCTACCCTTCATTAGATTTTTTAGTTTATCTTCTGAAGAATTCATCAAAAGAGTTCGTCCATATAAACGGCTTTTGAAACATCAACTTTATGAAGACTTATTAAATTCTTATTTGGATCCTAATAGTGAACCAATCGTTAATATTTTATTACCTAGGAATCGAAAAATTGATATTATTGATTCAAACATTGTTAATTTAAAGATTGCTTCATTTGTTTCAAGATGGATTGATAAGATAGAAACTAAAAGCAAATATGATTATACGAGAGAGTTGTATTTGCCATATAAATTCAAATTATTATTAAGAGGTAGCAGAAATGGACTCAACCACAGTACGTTTCATGAATTATGTGATTATATACCTAACACAGTTATATTCATCAAAGTAAAAGATACAGATGAAATTCTTGGTGGATATAATCCTTTAAATTGGAACAAATCAAGTGGTTATGGACTAACCAAAGATAGTTTTATATTTTCTTTTAAGAATAAGGATAAACTTAAAGATCTAATTTTAAGTCGTGTAAATAATATAAGCAAAGCAATATATTGTTCGAGTAATTACGGTCCATCATTTGATGATGATCTTCGTATATTAACTAGTTATGATAAGAATTATTGCAAACTTCAAAGTTATGAACAAAGGATAAGAGATACATACGACGAGTTTTCTATAGAAGATTATGAAGTATATCAGATTGTAAAAGAATAAGTTTTAAAATATTTATGGTATTAAATACTTTGAATATTATTTATAATTATACAGATATGATTCATTTTATTCTGAATTTTCTCGTTATTAATTGAATTAAAGTTTATTAATATAAATTTACTTGATTTTATAATAAAATTAATAATTAATATTATTCAAATATAAAAAAATATTGATTCGATTTATTCCAGTCCACATAATATTAATAGAATTTTAACATCGGAATATGAAAAAGTGATCAAACATTATCTTTTATTATTCCGTTAACGAATCGCGAATTTCGTTAATTCGTTAAAGAATTCCGATAACGAATTTCGCTAAATGAATTCGTTCATCTCCGTTAATATATATTTTTGTGTATTATTAAAGAATGTATATCGAAAATTAATTATTTTAGGAAGGCCCAAGAAGCAATTTAACAATCCACCACCGTTATTACAAGGTTATTCGATCGCTTCATCCAATAGGATTAAACCTAAGAAAATGATATAAAAATATGGAAAATTTTCTTACTTAATTCTTCCAGAATCGATTCATACCGAAAGAAGAACATAAAGAGAAAAAAGTTTATTCAATCTAAAGGAAGGAAAGATATATGATATTCGATGTTGCAACCTGAAGCAATCTAACTAAAAAGAAATTATAAAAAAAATAAAAAAAAATAAAATCATTAACTTTTATCGCACCCGAAAGAGGTGAAAAAAAAAAATGAATAAAAAAATTCGATCACTGGATCGAACCTATTAAAGAGAATTAAACAATTTCAAATAGAAAAAATCTCGGCAAATGATTTTTTTTTTTTTTGCGTTCATGAAAAAAAAATAAAACCGTTGACACCTAATAAAATCGACTGAAAATGAGTGATTAATCGGATTTAAAATCGATTCAACTTTTTTGAATGGATTCCAACTATACCTCTTAAGTTTCCGTAAAAGTAATTGCACTAAAAAGTGTATATCTTTCTGGTCAGAAACATAAACACACATACTTTGTACCCAATTTTTTAAAAAGTTTAAAACCTAACGATTCAATTGTTTATTAAAAAATTAATACCGCATCATTTTTTGGCAAAGAGTATATATATATACTATGAAAATCACGGTGAATAGTTTTTGGAAATATGATTTATTTTAAAAATCATTTTTAGTGGAATGAGTAATTCCATAATAAAATTCTTAATTTAAACCGCTTTATGAGTGCTATTTAAGCTTCATCGATTTTACGTACGATAGTCAACTTCATTTATAAGTCTGTTGTTCAATATCGCAATAGTTCCTAAAGGCTGGAACGAGTATTTTTTACTTCTATAAATCTACTTCTACTCTGAAATTCAAAGAAAATATTGTATGTCGCAAAGTTAGAAATACACGAATAATAATAAACATATCGCATTTGAATATACGATCGAATGTAACAAATATCAGATGTGTATGTAAATTATACAAGCTGGTGAGGGAATTGATAAAACAATTTGACCACAAAAGTATTACACGGTCAAGTTTTAGTTATTTATATTAGTTTATCATAATGTAACATATTGGCTATCGATTTCACAATGAAATTTCTTATTCATAAATAAAATAGAATGTAATGGCACAACTTCTTTGCAGGAGATACATGTACATCCAAAAAGTCAAAAACAAAATTCTATAGCGAAGCTTTTCATATGCGAAAAACTGAAAAGTAGATAGTTTTTAATAAATTTCGATTTTACACTTTGCAAGCTTTAGTAGTCAGAACCCTTGAAGTTTTTGAGTTTTCTTGAAGCTTTAAAACCTATGAAAAATAATCATCTATCAAAACATTATTATAAAGTAATATAAACGATATAAACTAATTAATATATTTAGTTCTTGTATGTTTTTAAATTACTGTACATTAAAGTTTCAACTTAACTGGTTAGCGATTTTTTATGTCGAACTCAACTTTGGCCGAATTAAGATCTTGGGCAGAAATAGCTCTGGCCAAATGAATTGTTTGATCTAAATTTAATAGGTCGTTTGTATCCATTTACAAGTATTATCAAATATATTTTGTTAAAATTTAATTACCAATTACAGATTTGATTTGAAAACTTACGAGAATTCTTTTAATTGCAAAATAACTTTCGTCACTTGTTTATCGTGTCAGTCATTATCAGATATTATCCTCCACTCATTATTAGAAAACTCGTTCCTGATATAAGTGTGTGGATTTTCTGTATGAACAAATAGGTTCATATCATATCATAATCACTATTATCGAAATTTCATGGATATTGCAGATATCTTCAATTTATAAAAGTAATAAATGACTATTCCTTCACCAGATTAAACAGCAACAAATTAATTACTCCGTAATCATAGTACCAATTGTGACAGTCGACTCAGTCAGCCGTTACCGTCAACTGAGTCGAGCAAAAAGTATACAATTATAAGTTTCATCATAAATATTGAATCCCATTTGACTAAAAATTTGAAGTTTTATTAATTAAAAGTTTCACAATATTATATTCTGACATTATATCAAATTTGAAACAGCGACTCAGTCATGGCTCAGTCATTGAAAATTCCGAAATCGACTCTACTTATTTATGCAGAGTCGACTCAGCCGTCGACTCTGACTCCAACGGCTGGTAATGTTAAATAGTCTGTCATACCTATTGAACCCATAGAATCAGAGTATTGAAAATCTTCGAAACATAATAAAATCTTTCGAAATAAAATCAAAATAGTCAAAAATATTTGGATAGTTTACAAAATGAGCTTTGGGTTAATTCAGCAATCAAGAGACATTTTGACGAAATTATATTGATAAAAAGCCAAAGGTATTTTTTCGGGACATATGAAGTGTAAAACATGAGAGAGTCCAGTTAATTTTAGAAAAATACTTAAACGCAGATATATTTAGATTTTTTATTGCGTTATATATATATTTTCCAAAAAATACAAAAAATAAGATTGGAATTATAAAATACTGATATGTGCATGAACACGTGTATAGTAAAATTAAATTGCAAATTTTTTTTTTAATTTTCAATCGAAACAATAATCGTTACATGGTGTCTACTTAATGTCACGTGCACTCTGAAGCTTTTTGATGAAGTGCACATTTGAATATTTTAAATCTAATCGGGAAAAGCATAAATTTTTGAGTGTTGATAAATGCAGATATGCTTTTTTTAGAATGAAATTTAAAGTTATCGCGCAGATACTTTATGTAGTATAAATTAAATTATCCCCTGATTGGCACCATTTACGTAATTATGCAAATAAATTATGCCTAATAGGCGATCGTTTAATAAATGGAATATTAATAGTAATATTACTACAATTAATAAATTTAAGTCGACTATTATTAAGAAATAAATCATTTTTACGTTTTG